CCTAATGAATACATATATTATTTTCTAACTCTAATTACTTCTTATTTTGTGAAAAATTATATTAAATATTTAATAATACACCTACACAAAGCATAATTCTCAGTATTCTTTAATGTAATATATTAGTAATATTCGAAATTCTCAAGATCAAAAAATCACAATTTACTTGGTAGGTAATCATAGTGATCATATTTGAGAATTTATTCTTAATTTTCCCTTTAAACTTCTGACAAACTCATATATAATAGCAGAAGAAAGATACTGTCTTAAGTTACTAATTTCTATAGAAGTCAAAATGTCACAAGGTTATTTTAAACACACCACTACTCTGAACTGTCCAGAAACTTATTTTAACTGTTGCCTAGATCATTTATTTTCTTTAGTTCTTACTACTATAATTTATAGGAATGACGTAGTCAAATGATACAGAATGGCCTTATGGTACATATCTTTCATGCCATCTACTCTTACTTCTAGACCCAGTCATCTGGATAGTTCTAGATATTCACATTTTGCTATTTTCATTTTTAATTCCTAATTATTAAGATAATTCTACAGAAATAAGATGATTAGCAGGGATCCCCTCAAACTTTGTAATCTGTTCACATTTAGGAATCTAACAGAAGTGTTAATATTTATTTTTTAAATTCTAGGTAGAGAATTAAGTTATTTCATAAAGCCACAGACTGTTTAGTATCTCTTGCAAATTTCTCTGACCATGCAAAGCAGAATGGGATGGAAGTAAATAGGATTTGAAAAGCCTTTCACAAGGTCTGAGGGAGCCACAGTTTTGGAAAAGCTACCACAGATTTAATGACTTGAACCAGGAATTAAGTAGTTTAACCATAATCTGACTTTGGCTGCTATGAGCAGATTCCTTTGAGAAGTCACTAGAAAGAACCAGTCAACCCTTAACTTCAATGCTCACACATATTTTGAACAACTTTGGATTTTTTTCATTTTAGGGAGAAGTAGAGATATTACATAGGATATAAATAGTATTGAAAAGATGCTTGTGTGTGTGTATGTGTGTGTGTGTGTGTGTGTGTGTGTGTGTGTTGGGGAGGATAGAGAGAAAGACAAAAGTGGGAGGAAGAGTTTTAGTTGACATCTTGTTTTGTGTGAGAGGAACAATAATCATATGGATATAATGTGTTATTGTAGAATTAATTTTGTATCTTTGTTGTTTCAAATTCTTATGGTTTCAAATTCATATTTAAGGAATAAAAATAGACTATTAGTTCTACTCTAGTAGATCTTCATTTTCAAGAAAATATTGACATTTAGACCACTAACAGCCTATTAGTGATAATGAATTCAACAGTATCTGTAAACTGTATGTGAGTGTCTAAGTTATTAGTCAATAATTATAACCAATTCCCCATTGTTATTACTAGAGAAATAAAGGAATAATTTTAGATAATCTTTAATTATTATAATTAAATACAAAATTAAGTATTGTCCCTAATGGTTTAATATCATTGCTATTTTTGTCTTATTTTAACATGCCGTCACTTTAGATTTCTGCTGAAAATGAAAATTACTGGATCTGTAAAATGTTCATGATGCAATCCAATGTTTTGTCACTTGAGAAGGAAAAATATAATAAAACATGGCAATAATTCCTTTAAATGGGATATTATTGTCTATTGAAGTATACTATATTTCTGTTTAGAACTACCACTTACATATTTGAGCGGAAGGTGGCAAAAAATTTAGTTTCCCCATGTTCCGAGGATATTAGTTCAAGGAGAATTTGAACTTGTTTATAAAATTATGTTAAGTATATCCCCTTCTTAGTCATTTTGGAAATTAAATATCTGAAGATACCCGTGGTATAGTAAATTCGCTTTTTAAAACTTTAATATCGTTTTCTAAGCTTATCTGTGTAGATAGCTTATTATGATAGCTTGTTATTTGTGTTCAGCATACTTTTTATTGTTTTATGTTGTTGTTGTTTTATCATACTTATAATAATAGGGATCAACAAACTGTGTGACTTCATCACTTGTTTTAGTAAAGTTTCATTGCAACATAGCTGTGCCCACTGGGACTTTAGCACTCTGCTGGCAGAGATGAGTAACTGCAACATAGACCTTGCCATCAGCAGTGCGTAAACATATTTGTTATCTGGACCACACACCCCTTACTTCTTTTTTATTGCCAAAGGCATATATGCTTGCCTGAGAGAGAGAAAGATAGAGAGGGAGATAGAGAAAGCACTCTCAGTTGTGAGTGACCACACCTCAATCTCTTCTCCTTCATTTCTCCATTTTGTTGGGATTTGCGGCCTGCCCATACCCTGTGTATCTGTCAAACTGCTGGTCCTGGAATTAAAACCCTATTAGCTATGTGGAAACCAGATCCCTTAACCACTTGGCTAGGGGTTGACCCTGTCATCTAGTCTTTTATAAAAGAATATTTGCTGGTCAAATAGCGCAGCAGAATACATCAAATTGAGAAACACTGAATTAAAGAAATGGATTATGGAACCAGCAGATGATGTAATGATTCACACTGCTGGTCTCCTATGAAGTCTACCACAATTTAAGTCCAGGGCCCAGTGGCTTAAAACTCATGCCAGGTGCATGCGTGTACGTGCCTGAGATCCTGAAAGGAGAACAGAGGAAAAGGGATTGCAGCATGGCCCCCTGGGGGAAGGGTGATTTCTTGCTTTCTGTCTCTCCAGTGAGCACATGTGCCTTATAGCAAATCTCTCTTTAAAAAAGAAGAAAGAAAAGAAAAATAAATATATTATACTTTTAAACTAAATCTTCTTGTAGATTAAGTATTCATAACTGGCAGCTGGAGTGGTGGTTACAAGCACTGGATTTCCACATGGCCAGCTGTGGTTCAAGTCCTAAATCTGGTGGCTTACTTTCTCACTTTCTCTCTTTCACTCGCTCTCTGGTCAAATTTAAATAAATAAATGAATGAATGAATGAATGAATAAATAAATATAAAGATAAATAAAATAATTCTTTTAAAAAAATCCGTAACTATATAATATATAATTTTCTTCTTTTTGGGGAGAACTAAAAAGGAATTCTACTTATTGAGGGCAAGAGGATGTGAACAATATGAAAATCAAAAGCGTATCTGCCATTTTACTCACTTTTCTTTCTCTGCTTGTCAAATGGGAGTTGGATTTTCTTTGTAAATTTTCTAAGGATCCTGATCTGTTCTTTATACAGGGGAGTTGTAAGGTAAATTCTTTAATTGACCCTGTGGGAAAACTCTTAGCAGGATAAGAGTAATCCATTGAGTCTGCCTAGTTCTTTCCCTTCTGCTTCATGTTTACTACCAAACAGTCATTCCATGCAATGGTGAGCCCCTCAATTAGTGGGGGAAAAAATGGCAAAAAAAAAAAAAAAAAAAAGCTCTAGAAGCCCACTTCTTGGCACAGGTCTAGATTCTTCATTATTTTGTCCACAGCCAAAAGTCCTTTTTGATTTTCCAAAACTCCTGCAAACTCTTTTTCCATGAATACTCTTAGATCATCTTTTGTCAAGTAGCCTTTTTCCCCAGCAAATTTGTAAAATGTAAACATCATGGTTTCCATGGTGTGTTCCATTTGAGATGGCATTTTGGCGATATATATTGAAACCTTGGCGGGCAGGCAGGCCCAGACACTGAGTGGCTGGAACATGAGGCAGTGATCAGAGTGTAGTGGGCTGGATGCCCAATTTTCTTCTTTTTTCTTTTTGTAAATTGCCAGATTATACATGTACTCACCAGAGAGAGACAGAGAGAAGAGAGGGAGAAAGCACCCCCATTCCCAAGGGGAATAGTCATGCTGCAATCCTTTCTCCTCCATTATTACCCCCTTTGGGGATTTTGGGCACACACATACATACACTAGCATGTTTCTCAAGCTGCTTGATTTGAAACTCAAACCACAGGATCGGCCATGTGAGATCTGGCTACCATAACTGGGCCTATATAATTAATTTGAATGATATGAAATGTGCAATTATGTGACTTTGATTTCCATTGAGTTAAACCCTATTTTTAAAGCTTTTATTTTAATATAAATAATTTATCTGAAACTTTAAAAATATTTATTAAAAAAATATAATTTTCTTACAAATCATGTCTAAAACAAAGACAAAAACTTTATTTTCTATTCTCTTTGCTAGTCTTGTATTTCTCTCAATTAAGTCCTCTGGGGAAGAAATGGATGTAAAGGGACCAGCAGTTGGCATAATGGATATGTCACTGCACTTCCATGTAGCCGACTGTGGTTCGAGTCCTGGACCCGGTGGCTTAAACTCACGCTGGGTGCATGTGCGTAGGCGTGCGTGCCCAAGATCCTGAGAAGAGAATGGAGGAGAAGGGATTGTAGCATGGCCATCCCTCCTGG